ATCTATTTGTATATGCAAATATATATATGCATACACACAGAGAGTCACTGGGGAGGTAGGTGACCAGTTGTAATTTGTTATATTGTCGTAGAAATTGTCTGACATCTACGACTGGGTTCTCTCGCTTGTGTGATATGTGAATCCGTTTGCCAGATGTATGTACTTCCAGCAGACACCTTCTTCAGACATGGCATGATTAACTCCTCCAGGCATTTGATGTAGCATTTCATGTGGAGTATGAAGCCCACTGGCAAGATGACTGAAAGTATAGCGTCGCCTTCACGAATGATCAACTCAAACACTGTGATGTTGGCTCGATATATCATCCAATTATTTCTGAATCATTTGTCCTGTCCTCTGAAGTGTTCGCATTGGAGCTTCCGGCGCAAATTCCAAGCAGTACACCATGCTGTTTCCAAATTTCTGGCGGAGGGAATTGTGTCATATTGTTCTTTTTCTCACAGACGGTGCCCAACAGACCCTACTATACTAAGCAGTCAACGAATTTAAAAAATCATCCAACACGCATGTGCGAAATTAAAAAAAATATTATATGTCGACAATTTAACCATAAATGACTACAATATAACCATCGCGACCTGTGTGTCCATATATATATATATATATATATATATATATATATATATATATATATATATATATCCACAGATTTTATTTAGAATGAGATGTTGATATTGAGAGGGCCCAATTTCTTAAATGTTTTTGGATTTACCAGCTTTGATCCTTAACTTGTTAGTGCTTTTGATGTTTTTAATGTCATTTTGAGTTGAAATTGGAACTGATTGGCTAAAATTTTAAAAGATATCTTTTTAATTATATTAAGCATGTCGAGTTCGAAGGGATCTAACAATTTATTACTAGGTATAGTATTTTGTGATTTCAAGTTATATGTTTCATTTTGGTCTTTAGGTTTGCTCTGAGGTTTGCAGTGGAAGTAGATTTTCCATCTCGTCCTTTTATGTGATCAATAAATTTCATCCCTTTTATGAGATCAATAAAACTTTTTTCTGAGATCAATAAATCCAAAACATTTACAAAATTGATCCCTCTAAATATCACCATCTAATTCTAAATAAAATCTTTAGCTCCTATAAGAAAGACAAGAACAGTAATCCCTTTCTTCTATAAATAATAATAAAAAAAAATCTGCTAAATTCGCCTATAAATACGAAATTCTGATATCCGAGTTCAAATCATATGAAACATGCCTACCTATTTTTTAAGGAGCATAAACCGAATTTTCAAAATAATCTGCAGTCCCGCTTGATAAAGAAAATATCCATATCTGTACTAGAAAAATACCCCGTAAATCTTTGGAAAGATTGCTCGGATACCATTAAATGATTCCAGGATATAAACACTAAATCTAAATATTCATTTATTCAAATTGATATAATCGAATTCTGCCCCTTCATTTCTGATAACCTATTAGAAAATAAGTAAATTTTGAAAAAAACTATATAAATATCACTGATGACGAATTAAAATTTTAATGGCTTCCAGAAAATATTTAATGACTCCTCTTGCGTTAAAAAATTGAATATTTCGATGTCCTCATCGGAGCATTTGTTTCTGCCAAAATACCAGATGTATGTATGTATAAATATTTTAGATACCCTAAGTAGATTCTTGTACCCCCCTAATGCAGAACTATACAGAGATGATGGACTCATTGTTATTCCTAATAGGAATGGTTCTCTAACTTCTAAGTTACGGAAAAAAGTCATTAAGGCTTTCCAAATTTTAGATTTACAAATTCATATTTCATCTACTTAAAAAATCGTTAATTTCCTAGATGTTACATTTAATGTCTCTAATAAAAGTTCAAACCCTTCCAAAAAGAAAATCAAACCCCTATATACGTCAACTTCAACTCAAACCACTCTAAATCAGAGATTCCCAACACAGTCAATACGAGAATCAACAAACTATTTTCTAGCTACAGAATATTTAATGAAAACAAACATAAATACAATCAAGCACTAAAAAATTGCAAATTCCAGCTAACATTGAATTATAAAAAATAATCGACTGAAAACACACTAATAAATTTAAAAACAGTAAAAGAAAAATTAGATGGTTCACCCCACAATTCTGCAAATTATCTGGCATTAAGATAGGAAAATTCTTCTTAAAAATTAATACAGAAAGACTTTAGTTATAACAATACATTAAATCAAATCTTTTATAAAATTAATTTGAAAATTAGTTACTCGTGTGTAAACAATATGGAAAAAAATTATAAATTGCCACAAAAATAAACTGCTTAAAGAATTTCATATGAACCAAATACAAGAAAATACTTCTACCTGTAATTGTAAAGGTAAAACTGAGTGCCCAGTAGGAGGATTATGTTTGACAGAAAATGCAGTTTATGAGGCCATAATTTCCCCCCAAAATATAAATCAGAAAAAGGTTTATATTGTAATATCCCCTTGGGATTGGAAGCAAAGCATTTAAAATTATGGCTATTCCTTGAAAACCGAATCCTTCAAGAATCAAGCAGCGCAATCTAAATATTATTTAGATATTAAGGAAAATGGCTTCAATCCGCATCTAAAATGGAAAATTATTTCCAGGATTAGAACACTTTAGATAAAGATGTGACCTCTGCATTAAAGAAATATTAATAATCAAATATAATCACCGTAATGAAATCAACTTCAAATGCAGACATGAAAACCGGTTCAAAATAACAAAATATTCCAATTCTTTTTTATGGATGGGGGGAATTGCCCATGGAATCTACGGGATTTAAATAATAAAGACACTAAGTAATACCTAATTTCCCTATGTCGGATTAAAGATATAGGTTAAACAATTTATGTGTAAATGTTTTCATTCATATATATATATATATATATATATATATATATATATATATATATATAGTTTGATGTGAGTTTGTGACTGTATGATTCACGCCAGTGTTACAAACTCAAATCAATCTAACTAAATATGTTAGCTCTATCACTGATATTGAGCGCTTTCCAATAATTACCGCTCATATATAATATATAAATAATATATATAGAAAAATGCATATATATATATATATATATATATATATATATATATACATTTCACACACACAGATTTATAACTATGGGTGGGTGTGTATGTATGTTTGTATATGGTACGTATATGTATGTATGGGTGAACATTCGTATATGTGCATATGTATATACATATATATGTATAAGGGTATATACATATATGTCTATGTTCATGTGTATGCATATATATATGCATATGTGCATATATATATATATGCATGTGTGCATATATGTGTGTGTGCATGTATTTATATATATATATATATATATATAGGTGTGTCTATATGTTTCTTAATTATTTAATTAATATTTGTTTTGTTGTTACATTGAGCTCCCTCTCTCTCTCTCTCTGTCTCTGTCTCTCTCTCTCTCTCTCTCTATATATATATATATATATATATATATATATATATACTTTGAATCAGGCCAGGAAACAGTAATGTGCTAAATACATGTGTGAAAAAAATATAAAAATATATGAGACTTATTCCACATATAAAAATGCTTTTATCATCTATCTTTTGTATCATCTGAGTTCCTTTTTTGCGATATCATATTATAATAGGCTAACCTCTTTTCCTCTATCGCTTTATCCTATCGCATATAAGCTAAATAAGTTAAAAACGTAAAAGAAAATTGTCTTTAATACTCGTTGCTGAAACAACCGATCGAGTAATAGTTAATCATCAATTAAACATAAACAACATGAATATTCCCTATAATTCTATTTTATAATACGATACTAATATGTTTATTAAATTCATTATTATTGTATTCATTAAGACGTTTTATTTGATACATTTTTGTATAAAGTTTATTTTAAATACGCCTGTGCTTATTGACTACAGTTTATGGATATGATGTTTGGCCAACACCGTACGAAGGGCCAGTGGTATTTACGCTAATGTTATATGCTGCAAACACCTTAAAACCTAAATTAAAAATTAGGTCTTGATAAGTTGCATGATATGTGATTATACACAATATATATATATATATATATATATATATATATATATATATATATATTAAAAAATACGTTAAGATAAATCGCTTCAAATCTTCCTCTGTTCCTTTCTCCATTTCTATCTTAGTGTTTCACCTATATGTGCTAATTCTGTTGTTTCGAAGTTAGATTTCAATCGATTTTCACTTTCCTTAATTCTTGCCAACACTTCGTAGTTGGCATTTTCTTCTTAGCGCGAAAAATGTGATACCGAAACCTCAACGCAATTCGGAGGTGCGAAAGATGCTTTGCAAATTCTAGACAAAATATTAAGTAATTGGATAATTTTATTTCAAAGATAATAGTGCTAAACTGTTATGTGATATCAGTCCCTTGTATGACATTGAATGATGGAAAATATTACCACAAGTGATGAAAAACTGAAGGCAGCAGAAATATCGTCGCACAAAAGCATACTCAGAATTTCATGGGCCGAGCGTGTAAGCAACAAGTTAATCTTAAATGGTTAATAAAATAAAAGTTGAAATTTATTGCACACATAATGAGGAAGGAGGGCTTAGAAAGCTTAACCTTCATAAGGCATATCGAGGGATAGATAGATCATAGAAGGCCGCCTATCTGTTTATTTTGTGTTAATGGATGGTGGAATAGTAGTTGGTGGGCTTGGCAAAGGGATCTAGTTGAGTTTATGTTTTACGATTTATCAACCTTTTGTAGGTTATTTAAAACCAAAAAATATTTTTTGAATGTAAGTATGTTTTTTGAGATAATAATGATTTACTGATACATGACTTACTAATTAACCTGGGAGAATAAGAAAGGAATTCATGCATTTCATGCATTTCCCAAGGTTATTTGAGCGTAAATAAAGATAAAAAACGTGAATAGAATTAGAACTCATCTCTCCGATTTCCAATTTCGAGCTGTTATCCATTACACCCACCGAACATCCAAACAGACAGCATTTGATATTCATAAGCGGTCACCCATCTAGGTACTGCCCAGACACAGTCTTGCTTAACTCCGTTGATCGTACGAGAACTAGTTTTTAAAAAATTGATATTGCCGTAACCTTGCCAAAGGGAGATCACCACTGTGAATAGGACGTCGTAGAGAGTCATGATCAGCAACATGGTAAAGGGAGAGGGTTCATAGGAGAAGGATATTATCTCTAAAGTGTTATGGATGTCTAACACTATTAAAAATTAAATAATACTATTTGACAGGAATTTTTTTCTCGCATTTCGTGCGTCCTTGAAAATTAAAAACGTTGTTATAAATAATGCTATAAATAACATAAAATGAATTAGAATAAAATTATATATTTTGACATCTTCCATTTCGTTTCCGTTTTTTTTTAATGTGTTTTATTACTCGTATATATTAATATACAGAAGAAAAATGATTAATCAGACTTCTAGCGCGATAAACATTTGTGCAGTTTTCTTTGCAAAAACAAAAACAAAATTACAATAGATATTAATAATAATTTCCCAAATACATCGTTGAAAATCTATTTTTGTTATGACACTAAATAAGGGAAACACTAGATTGGCAGATAATCAGCATCATTTCATCTTTTATAATTTTATTCCAAACACAGCGATAACGCCACAAAAATGTTACAAGTGCAAGAGACGACATTTTTAGCATAAAACTTTCAGTTATATCTAGTGATTTTCATTGTAAAATGGTGAGACATAACTGCCAATCATGTAGTACGTTGTGATATCCCTCCCCGGGTCTCGCTGCGTAAAATGTGACGTCTGCTGGTTGCGTCCGTCGTGCTATCCTGTCTTGTGACGACCAACTAGCTTGGTATTGGTCGCGGCACCAAATGTGATGTTCTAAACTTTTGGTGATTCGGATGGGAATCTGGTATCAGCCTAGTCGTTCCCAGCTCGCCTCCAACGACTGGATACCGAAGTAACTGCTTTGATTTCCAGTCTAACTTACCCACGTTGTGAATTGATCTTAGGCAGACGAAATCAATCAGTCGCCGGGCCGTAATGCAAGTCGAGTTCGGACAAGGGTGATATCGCACAAGTATATGTAAAACAAAATAAAATAATAAGTCGAAAAGTTCAAATGTGTTAAAAAAAAGGATAACAATACTTTATATCTTGTTTCTGAGCACAGGACTGAGTCTTCTTCCCAACCCGCTATATGGATTCGTGACACTTTGTGTTTGTTAGGCGAGTCTTAACATCTTAAGTTGTTTGTTCTTTAAGAAACTGGTTCTTGTCGTCTCTTCAGGCGATATTCGTAAAACTTGTCTTGGTGGTGTGAGTCTAAGACGTTCTTCAAAAATAAATTGTTCTTGATTAGAAGATGAGAAGTCAGCTATCTGCGAGGCGGGTCTTCAGAGCTTTCAGCTCACTACAACTGCTTGCCTGTCTGTCTCCAGCCCCAACTGGAACTCAACTCAACTGGATCTCAACTGGAACTAAACTGAACTGATTTCGCTCGCTGTGACTTTGCTTATATGGACGCCGACCAAAAGCGCGGTGGGCATGTCGGGGTTTGAGGTTCCTTGATAATTCCAAACCCACAATCCACTTCTTTGTTTTCGGTCAGGAAAATTTTATTATTTTCCATTTTTGGAAGTCTTCTCGTCCTCCCACCTTCTGTTCACGTATTGGTATCTCACCATACCCTCAGAGGGTGTCAACGGTTTTCCCTCTCTCTCATAGTGGCATCTCACACCTATCCCATCAATGGATGCCAGCAGGACTCCACTCCTGCTTCACATGATTACCTCCGCCCAAAAAAAATCTTGCTCAAAGAAAAAAAATCTTTTGAGCAAGAGATTTTCACAAATTAACAAGTGGGTGGTCAATCAGACCTACCTATACTCCTGGCGCCAACCACTGATCTGATAAAACAATTTCGCCATCACAGCCGAATTTCATATGGAAGTCGTCAACGAGATTTTCGCCAATTATCAAGTGGGTGGTCAATTAGACGTTTCGCATTCTGGGGTTATCTATTCCCGATAAAATAATTTCGCCACCATAGCCAGTTTTCGACACAGAACAGATGCCTTTTTCCAAACGACTTTTCCGTAGATAACCAATGGTTTGGTCTTTTGTTTCGGCAACTGTGTGTGGTCAAAATGGACATTTTGCGACACAGTCAATGTTTATCTATTTAGAATTCTGTCTCTGAGGTTATTTGGTCGACCTGGAATTTCCACCCGCCCCGTAACGTAAATCAGATTAATTCCAATATCTTCCTTTTTACCTTCTCGGCAATGTAAAAATAAAAATTTTACAATTTTTCTTTATCAGAAAAATAATACCGCTTAGTGTTCTTTTCGTGGTGGCTCCTTATCACCTAATTTTAATTCTCGCCTTTCTTTTTTTTTCCTTTTTCTTTTCTCCTTTCTTTTAGCAAGTCAAATAGTATCACAGTCCTCCCCTAACTTATTTGCCTTTTACTCGTAACCCAAATACACTATTTAGCATGCGTGATGCATCATGCATCTGTCCCATGCAATGCTATTCTCCTTTTCTTTTCTTTTTTTTACGGTTTTACATGAAAGGTGATATTCTTTTCACCTTCTTCTGTTCTACATGCAATCGTAATGTTCTTTTCATCTTCTTCTGTTCTACATGCAATGTAATATTCTTTTCATCTTCTGTTCTACATGCAGATGTAGTGTTCTTTTCATCTTCTTCTGCTCTACATGTAAATGTAATGTTCTTTTCATCTTCCTCTGTTCTACATGCAAATGTAATGTGTGCGTGTGCCCGTTGGTGGTGTGTGTGGCTACGATGTTTTGTTCTTCTTGGTCAATGTTTTTCTCTCCGCTGTTTTTTCCGCCGCACGTGTCGGGCTCCCGCCAGCCCTCTCCGCCGGTTTTGCTGCAATTTCTTCGCCGATTCAGTATGAGTAAGGAACACTGCTCGGCATCTCCCCCTCGAGTTGCTGCATGCTCATTTGATTATCGCTAGTTAATTTCCTCTTACCATCTTCCATATTGCCATACCCCCTATGACTATAATCATGAATGTACCCATCATTGCCGACCAACTCATCGCGATCTGGTCATTATCTCCCAAGCTATACCTTCATTTCCCAACGCACTTAACTTGTCCCTCAATTGATCCATATCGATCTTTTCTATCGGCTTCATTAGTACTGGCATTTTATTCAAGGTAACATTGGGGAATCCCCTCACGATTGGCTCCCACAACTCTGTACAATTTCTATGATTGAATCTTTCTCTTCATATCTTTCTTCTTCCTGGTAATAGGGTTGTAAGGAAATAGATATCCCAAATGCCGAACATCCCATGGGTAACTTTAACAGGGATAACGGTGGCCTTACTCTTAATTTCTTTGTAGAGTCTCCCCCACATACCCTACACAAGCTGATGGATTTCTGTGTGGCCACTGCCCACACCCCGTCTGAAACACTGATAACTTGTGGTAATGCCGTGTTTGCTAATATCTCTACTTGACAAGTTCTCTTAATTCCAACTTTCTTCCCTTCAAACAATTCCAGTATGCACATTTTGTAGTTACCAGCTATATAGATAGGGCTTAACGATGTACAAATCCCTAGAGCATCATTTCTACACTTTCTAGAATCTTCAGCTGTTAGCAACATGAATTGAGTTCTGCCCGAATTTAAAGCTATGTATTCTGTTTCCATCTTTTACCTTCGTACCCTTTCATTTTGATCATTCCTGCAAAGCAACAAAATTCTCTTGCTTTTATTCTTCATAACCATTCGGTATTGTTCAATTCTTCATTCAATTATTCCATAATTTCTTTCTAAGTTTGCAAACTTTCAACTCTTCCCTCCCCTAGATAACTGCTAGCAGACAGAATGGTCCGGACAGGTGTGCGTGGCGCTCACTCCAAAGGTCGTACTTCATGATACTACCGTTGACCAGTTAGCAATGCCAATAATCTTCTTCCGCCCTTCGTGAGGTGCTGCTCGCGACTCCATCCCCTCCATCCACATCCACCACAGTCAGCCAGTAGGTTTTTGAATGAGCCAGTGTCGTTATCTGTCGACACCGAGTGCTTCTATTCTGCACAGTCTTCTTTGGTCTACTGAGACTTGGGGTTCTCAACCTTTCTCAATCTCATCTTAGTTCTTGCTCGACCTCCAACCTTCCGTCTGTGTTTAAATCCCGTTCAGGAGGTGTTTTGTCCTCTTCTTCCTTTCCTGATTCTTCCTTCTGAGTCCGCGTCCTGAACGCCTTCATTACTTCTTGATGCGATGTCTAAATCTCTACTGTTTCTTAGTCTTTGAGCTGGGAAAGGGGTTTTTGATCCTCTTCCTCCCACTCGTTGAACGCTCCGTCCTGTTAAGGGTGACTCTTTTTAGAGCACTTGACTGCTTGATTGGATCTCCTCGTCTTTTTCTTCCTTTTCTTTGGACATGGGGGTGCGATGGTGACATGGGGGTGCGATGGTCTTCTCTGCACCGATTCAGACGACGGCTGAACGCTGCTGATCCCCGCCGAGGGTTCCAACTCCGTCAATCCGATCGCTTCCTCTATCTGGCCAAGTCGATCTATCTCTTCATTTTCCTCGGAATCTTCTTCCGTCTCCATTTCTTCCGGCTCAACCAGAGTTACCTTCCTTGTCCTTAGACCTCGGTTCACTCATTTCCAGGTTAGCTATTTCAGCCTTCTTTAGATCATTGGCATGGACCCTCCTTGCTCGTCCTGCCACTTGATCCCATATTACATATGATACTGGACTCGTCTGCTCTACTATCCGGTAGTACGGTTCCCATCTCTGGTCCAGCTTTCCTTCTCTCTGGTGGATTTTATAGTAGACAGGATCTTCAACCTTCAATTCTACTACCTTTCTTTCAGCATTCACTCTCTCATTTCTTCTCTTCTGTGCCATCTTTATTCTTCTTCTGGCCTGTACAAATATTTTATGTTGTTGTTCAAGCAACAGCTGATGATGATCTTCTCCCATATACTTTCTTCGGGGCTTCAACAGGTTATCCACAGGCAGGACCACGTCTCTGCCAAACAACATAAAGTAAGAAGAAAATCTGGAGGTTTCGTTTATCGTAAACCTCACGGCCGCCAGAGCC